TTTTTTGAGACCAAGTCTTGCTCTTGTTGCCCAGGCTGGAGTTCAACAGCGCAACCTCGGCTCACTGCAACCTCCACCTCTGGGGTTCAAGCGATTCTCCTGCCTCAGCCTGTTGAGTAGCTGGGACTTCAGGTGCCTGCCACCACACCCGGCCAATTTTTGTATTGTTAGTAGAGAACAGGTTTCACCAGGTTGGCCAGCCTGGTCTTGAACTCCTGACCTAAGGTTATCCACCTGCCTCAGCCTCCCAAAGTGCTGGGATTACAGATGTGAGCCACTGTGCCCAGCCTAAATAATGCATTTTCAAACACCAACAACCAACTCTGTGATTCTCTTGATACCAACTGAGTATCCAACAATTCAAGGGTCCAGTCCCACAAGACTGCCTCCATTCAGAAACCAGTGTGGAGTCCTGGACCACCCATACTTCAGACTGACTGGTTATAAATCAGGGATTCCCATGACCTACTCTTTAGGTTCCACAGTTTGCTAGGATGGCTAACAGAACTTAGAAACATACTTTACTTGCATTGACTGGTTTATTATGAAGGATGCAACTCAGCTTTAAACAAATGGAGGAGATGCATAGGGCAAGGTATGGGGTGGGGGGCACAGAGCTTCCCTTCCCTCTCTGGGCACTTGTCCCTCAAAGCACCTCAATGTGTTCACCAATCTGAAAGCTCTCTGAACATTATTGTTCAAGAGTTTTGAACAGAATTGAATCTCCCATCCCCACCCTCCCATTCCTCCCGTTCAAGGAGGTCAGTGAGCAGGACTGAAAGTTTCAGCCCTCTGTTCACTTGGTCTTTGTGGTGACCAGCATCTTCCTGAAGCTTTCTTAGAAAGGGATAAGGCCCTTAGAAAATTAGCATTAACATAAACTCAAGTGTGATCCAAAGGGGCTGCTTAGGAAAAACAAGAGACCTCTATCACGTAGGAAATTACAAGGTTTTAGGAACTCTGTGCTGGAAACTAGAGACAAAGACCAAAAAAAAAACTTTTTTCAGAGGCAGTGTCTTGCTCTGTCGCCCAGACTGGAGTGCAGTGGCAACATCAAATCTCACTAGAGCCTTATCCTCCTGGGCTCAAGTGATCCTTCCATCTTAGCCTCCCAAGTAGCTGAGACTTGTATCCAGACTATATAAAGAACTCCTCCAACTCAGTAATAAGAAGACGATCCAATTAGAAAATGGGGGGAAAGATCTAAATAAACACTTCACAGAATGAGACACATGATGGGCTAAGAAGCTCATGAAAAAATGCTCAACATCATTAGTCATTAGGAAAATGCAAATTAAAACCACAACAAGATACTTTCCACAGTCAATAGAATTGCTATTACAAGTGCTGACAAGGATGTGGGGAAACTGGAAACTTCATACGTTGCAACGGGAATGTGATATGACAGAGTCACTTGAAACAGCTTAGCAACTTAAGCGAAAAACACTGTAAGACCTAGCAATTCCATTCTTAGGTATCTAAACAAGAGAAATGAAAGTATAGGTTCACACGAAGACTTGTATGTGCATGTTCATAGCAGCCAAAGCTTAGAAATAATGAAAATGTCCCTGAACTAGTGAATGGATATATAAAATGTGGCATATTCATACATACAATAGAATACTACAGAAATCAAAAGGAATCAGCTACAGATGCATCCAGTATCATGGATGAACCTCAAAAACATGGTAAGTGAAAGGCAAACATGAAAGAGTACACGTTGAATGATTCTATTAAGATGAAATCTCAAGAAAAGACAACTATGGACACACAAGTTGGTCAGTGTTTGTTTGCCACTGGGTAAAGATGGATTTACATCTAAAGATGCAAACATGCACAAGAAAACTTTTTGGGATAATGGAAGCGTTCTTAAAACTAGATTGTGGTGGTGATTGCAAAGCTCTAAATTTGTCAAGAATCACTTTATAAATCACTCATAATGGGTAGACTTTACAGTATGGAAATTGAACCTCAATATAATTTTTAAAAATCGGTCTGAAATAATAAATTTGTCTAGAATTTTTGCATAAAACATTGGCCGAGCTACTAGAAATAAAGCATGATTTTATTGATAAAATAATATCCTGCAGAAAGCTTCTCTGAATATCCCACTGAGAGGATGTAATGAATCTTATGAATATGCAGAAGAAAGATGAGCATTTACCAAAAGGTGTTAATAGGTTCAATTTTTTAAAAAAGTGTTTCAGGATTAAGTAAGTATGAGTAACAGAGGACTAAACAAAGGTAACTACATTTCATTACTTTAGGGTTTTCCAGAATTTTAAAATATTTCATTGTGTCTAATGACTCTTTAGGAAAATGATGTAGATTTCAGACCTTTCCAGATTTGTTTTTCACAAAAACTTGTATAATACAAAACATATTTTGACATATGAAAAACATTTTGCAGTGCAGAGGTAGAATTACCAAATAGAATACTGACCAGAATTATCCAGTAACTTGTTCATTTCTTTGACTTCATTTGGCTAACATCTCCAGGTTCACAGCTTGAGAGATATGTCAACCCCCACCACAGGGGCAGTTTACTAGTTTGTTGCTCAGACCAAAAATTTGGAGTTCTATTTATGACTTTCTTTCAAACCCTACACTCAACATACACATCCATCAGCACATCTAGTTGGCTCTACCTTTAAAATAGAATCTGACCTCTCTCACATGCTCAAGATAAAACCCTGTATTAGTTTTTATTGCTGCCTAATAATATACCCCAAAACCTAGTAGGTTAAAACACAATAAACATTTGTTATTCCTCAATTTCTGTGAGTTGGGAATCAGGCATAGCTTGGCTGAGGGGTCTGGCTCAGAGTCTCTTAATGAAATTGCAGTCATGTCATCAGCCAGGGCTGTAGTCATCTGAATGTCTAACTGGTGCAGGGGCTAGAGGATCTTCTGAGTTAAGCGCAATTTCCAGGCAATAGGTGTTAAGTGCCATTTGCAGTTGATGGCATTTAACACCTATTGCCTGTTTCCCTCCACTAATATGTAAGCTCAACAAGACCAAGGGGTATGTTTTGTTTTTGCTGTAGTCTCAGGATCTAGAATAGTGCCTGGCACATGGGAGGCACTCTGAAAATATTTGTTTAATGACTAAATAGATGGGTTAATGAAAGTGGCTGTTAACCCCAGTTCTGCCTGCAAAAATGCTCTCAACACTGAATTATGTACATGAGTGAGAAGAGAAAGGAAGGAAGAAGAAATGGGCATGTGAGTAGATAGATGTCAGCAAATGTAGCTAGAAATAAGTGAGAAAAAAAGGAGGCAAAGGTGGCAGGAAAATAACAACATGATATGAAGTATATCATTTGGATTTGCAAGCCTGTGAATTCCAAAAAAGGCACTGGTTTACTTGAAGGAAGATAATTATGTTCAATTAATTACATAAACTCAGGGAAAAAGAAAGAACAGCTAATTCATGAGTTAAAAGAAACATACAAGCATACTGTAGTTAAGGATATTAAAAGACCAAGAAAAGGTATATTAATGCTCATGGAACTATGGTGGAAGCTCACTGGGGCATGCCTTCCGCATGGGATGAATGTTTTGAGGCAGCACTTGATGGGTGGACAGGATCTCCTGGATTTTGTCCAAACAGATCTTGTTTGCTGCTATCCCTGCTTCAAACTCTCGGCGTTTCTCTTCCTTCTCTGCTTCTTGGGACTGCTGCTGGTAGGCAATTTGCATCTGAAGTTGCTTCCTGTACTCCTGGGCTAAACGTTGGCTAAACGTTTAAAATATTAGAAATGTCTAAAATATTAGAAATGTCAAAGTATAAAATTATAAAATCATTTGGATTTATTTAGAGCGTTACAATTAAAATATAATTTGTAAAGTCAAATTAAAATTCCCATTAAAATCTGAGTGAGTAGAGAATAGATGAGAAACTCAATAATGAATTTCTTACACAATAATTATTAATATAATCCTAGAACAAATATTGATTATAGGGAGGAAATGCTTCTTCTCTGCCCACAATGTTCACTGCTATGTGGGAATAGTCCCTGGTTTGCCTCCATCCCTTCCCTTACTCTTCTCTATGGGTAAAATTGGAGAAGATAAACAAACTGCTCAATTTAGCTTGTCCCCCCCTTTCATTTTGGAGGCTGCTCCCCCTGTTTTCTGCTGTGCTCCAGATCAAAGAGCCACATCCCTTCACAGGAGGCCTGCAGTCATCTCATGCTGCTGGGGACTGGGAGGGTGGGTTAGCTTCATCCTATCATTCTGTTCGGTATTAACTAGACAATTTCTTGCATATATAAGCCACATTTTAAATATGTGACAGTTTTGATTTATAGTATAATTTTTATTGTAATCACACATTATGGTCAGGTACAGTGGCTCACACCTATAATCCCAGCACTTTAGGAGGCTGAGGCAGGCGGATCACCTGAGGTTGGGAGTTCAAGACCAGCCTGACCAACATGGAGAAACCCCATCTCTACTAAAAATACAAAAATTAGCCAGGCATGGTGGTGCATGCCTGTAATCCCAGCTACTTGGGAGACTGAGGTAGGAGAATCACTTGAAACCAGGAGGCAGAGGTTGTGGTGAGCCAAGATCACTCCATTGCACTCCAGCCTGGACAATAAGAGTGAAACTACGTCTCAAAAAAAAAATAAAATTACGTAGGTCATACATGTAATAATCCCAGCACCTTAGGAGGCCAAGGCAGGAGGCATGTGCTTGTGGGTGGATTGTCTAAGCCCAGGAGGTTGAGGTTTTTCAGTAAGCTGTGATCACACCACTGCACCCCAGCCTAAGCAATAGAACAACACCTTGTCAATAAACAAAAACAAAAACAAAACCACAAAAAAATTTACATCTTAATAATTTTTAAATGTACAGTTCAGTAGTTAAGTCTCTTCATATTGCTGTTAAAGGGATCTCCAGAACATTTCCATCTTGCATATCTGAAATTCCCCTCTCCTCTTTACTCCCCACAACCCTTGGTAACCACCATTCTACTTTATGTTTCTATAAATCTGACTACTTTATATATCTCATAAAAGTAGAATCACACAGTATTTGTCCTTTGGTGATTAGCTTATTTCACTTAGCATAATGTCCTCAAGGTTCAACCATACTATGGCATGTGACAGTATTTCCTTGCTTTTGAAGGCTGCATAATATTCCATCATACATATATATCATGTTCTGTTTATTCATTTCATTGATAACAAAAGACACTTTTATCACTCAGGAAATTACAGGAGTTGTAGGAGCTCTGTGCCAAGAACTAGGAACAAAGATCAAATATAATTCTCATTATACCACAGCTGATATTAAAAATGTGGCTTATATTTCTAGCCACTGAATTGATATTTGGGTTGCTTCTACCTCTTGAATACTGTGAATAGTGCTATGAATATTTCTGTGCAAATATCTCTTCGAGACCCTGCTTTAAATTTTTTGAATATATACCCTGAAGTGTGATTGCTGGATTATGTAGTAGTCTTACTATTACTTTTTTGGAGGAACCCCCATACTGTTTTCCATAATGGTTATATAATTTTACAATTTTAAACAGGGTCTCACTCTATCACCCAGGCTGGAGCGCACTACTGGCAGAATCACACAATCATGGCTCACTGCAGCCTCAAACTCCAAGGTTCAGGTGATCCTCCCACCTTAGTATCCCAGGTATCTGGGACTACAGGTGCACACCACCACACTCAGCTAATTTTTTTTTTTTTTTTTTTGGTATTTTTTTAGAGACAAGGTTACACCATGTTGCACAGGCTGGTCTCAAACTCCTGGGCTCAAGAGATCCACATGCCTTGGCCTCCCGAAGTGGTTAGATTGCAGGTGTGAGCCACCATGCCTGGCCTCTTTGTAGTTTCAATGGCTAGAAATATAAGCCACATTTTAAACATCAGCTGTGGTATAATGGGAATTATGTTTGATCTTTGTTCCTAGTTCTTGGCACAGAGCTCCTACAACTCCTATAATTTCCTGAGTGCTAAAAATATGTTTTGTTATTCATAGGAACACCTCACTTTATGCTAATAAGCTGGCTTAGAGTAGGGCCCCTGGGTAGCGTCAGGATGGGGTTGGTCACAAGATAGACCAACTGATGAGGGAGTTAGGACTTTCAGCCCCACCCACTGACCTCTTGGGAGGAGAAGGTGGGGGCTGGAGATGAAGTTCTAAAAACTCTTGAACAAGGGTGCTCTGAGAGCATCTGTGATGGTGATACATGGAGGTGCTAAAACGATGGTGCACCTGTGGAGAGCATGGAACCCCCTATGCTCCTCTTCCACTTGGCTGTTCCTGAATTGTGCCTTTGTGATAAACTGGTAAACATTAAGTCAAATGTGTTCCTGCTTTCTGTGAGCAATTCTAACAAACTGTTGAACCTGAAGAGGAGGTCGTGGGAACTCCCAATTTATAGCTGGTTGATCAGAATGTGGTCTGGGACTAGCATCTGGTGTCTGAAATGGGAGCAGTTTTGTGGGACTAAGCCCTTACCCTGAGGGGTCTGTACTAACTCTGGGTAGTTACTATCAGAATTGAGTTTAATTCTTAGATGCTCAGTTGGTGTCTGGAGAATCAGAGAATTTGTTGTTGATTTCAGAAAACACTCCATTAACTTTTATTAGAAATAAAGATAATGGTTTGGATACCTCTCTATGGCAGATTCTATTTTCCAAAGATGGCCATAGTACCTATCTCCCTTCTCGTATGTGTACTCCTAATTAGGGAAAAGGAGTCAGTCTGGTGGAACCAGGAGAAAGCAAAGAGATAAAGCAGATAAGCTATAGGTCTGCCTCTGTTCATGGCCCAGGACATAGAGCCCTCCTGTGCAGATAACATAGAAAACTCACAAACTTTCTACTTATCATCAAATGCTTCGATTCATCATCAAACATCTCAGCTGAGAGAAGAATGCAGGTTAGCTCCCTGCTACCTTGGTGTTAGCAAGAAGCCCAAGAACCATCCTATAAAATCTCCAGCAAGTGTTTGTTTCCTGGCAGTCAGTTCCTCTTTTGCTGGCTGCCCATTGCTTTCTTGCACTGAATTTTCCTACTTTCTCTAATAAATCTGCCTTTATTTACCTACAACTGTCTTGGTAAATTCTTTTACGCTTGCACCACTGGCCCAGATAGTCACTGCTCACCCACAACAGTTTAGTGGCCTATACAGGGAACTCTCTCCATACAAGAAACTCTCTTCTTATGGGGAACCCTCTGCCCTCCCTCTTTCCCTTTCCCAACTTAGGACCCTCAGTGGACAGCATCTACACAGAGAGAGAATTGTAAGTCTCTACTCGACACTACCTACACTCCAGTGGGACTAAAAGGTGTCCATGTGGAAGTGTCTAACCACCGTTGCCTGTTCAGGTGAGGGACCTGAGTTTACTTTCTCTTTTCAGTCTTTTAGCAGTTGGCTTTTAGTATCTCTTTGGCAATTGACAAATTGGCTGTGGTCAATATCTGGTGTTGCCTGAAGGCCAAATAGCCACCTGGCCTGAAATAGAGGAAGGTTTTCTCCTGTGTTCTCTGATCACAAGTCCCTAATCCCTATGTGAGATGCGACTGGCAGCAGAAGCTATTCAGAGCAAATTCACACATTTTGGGTGACGTAGATCCTCTCTTTCTCACTCTAAATTCTCCTGTGGAGTCAGCCATCCATCCTGTTCCAGATGTTACTAAATCAGGTGATCTCAGCCTCAAAACTGTGAGTCTTCCCTTACCCACTACCTCTCCTGGGCTAGCACAGGCAGAGTCCTCCCTTCACCCATTTTCCTTGTACCAGGACTGACCATCCAGCTTAAGACCCCTGAGTGGCTGAGGGGACTTTTCTAATAGGTGGGACAGCCCTTTAGAAATTGCACCCCAAGTTCCTCAGCAGACCTAAGTGGAACCGTTTTTCATCTTGGCTGGATATCCTGAGAGAAAATGCAGTTTATGCATCTAAGTGGCACCATCCCTAAGCAGCATGTTTTCCAGTCTCGCCATGAGACAAACCCATCTATTCCTTCAGACTCACCTCTGGGTTGTATCCTAAAACATTAAGACAAATTTAACCCTCAAACTCTCAAAAAGAAATGTCTAATTTCTTGGGTAACACACATGACCTCTATGTAGAAAATCATCAAATTAGCCTCCTGAGTTCTTTATAACTGACAGCAGAATAAGGAAGACAGGGCTAAGAAGAAAGAACAATGCAGAGGCAAGAAACAGGCTCAACTGTTGGCTGCCTTACAAGCCCCAGCCTCCTCCAGGTTTCCCTAAAACTACACTCCTCCAGATAACTGCCATTGGTGTTAAAGGCCAGGCTATCTAAAGGCAGAGTGCCCCAGTGGAATAAATTTTAAAAGCCCTGCATGGCTTGCTGTCTGTGCCACAAGCTCAGCCACTGGAAAAAGGACTGCACTGATTGATGATCAAAGGGCGCCCAGGACAGAATCTCAACCCCAATGGCCTTATGCTAAAGAGGCTCTCTGCTCCATCTGGCAACAGCTCACCTTAACTGATAACTTGCAAGGGTGGGAATAATTCATCCCACACCATGTAGGTCTGGGGTGCTAATGCTCTCCCTGACAGGATATAAACAAAACTGGTAGTAGTACTGACCCTGCACTGCAGTGGTTGGAAGGCTCACAAGCCCTCATATAAAGCCTAACCATTTCCTCTCCATTCCTTCCTTTTCTTTTTCTCTTTTTCTGTTCAATCCAGAGGATTAGACTTAAAAGGGAAAGACAGTTTCTAACATCCTAAC